AAGTATATGTTAATAGCTTGTGAAGGGGGGAGGGGGGGAGGTTGCTCCTAAAACAAATGGTGCAAAGTTATTGAGATCTAAATTATAGCAACAAATATGTCATCAAAATAGTGAGATAGGTGACAGGTATCAGTTTGTGATTCCCGTCCATATGCCAGAGGGCCAGTGGGGAAAGTACGTTATACACGTGTCTACGGATGGCATTCATAGACCTTAGCCTCCTACCAATGTGATCGACTCTCTTTATGGCACTCCTTAGTCTCCACCTCTGCACACGTGCACCTTGGGAAACAAGGTAACCCTCGATTGTTTTGCAACCTGTCAACAAAAATAAGAGTTTTAATTTCAAGCACCCTGTGACACAGTAGTGAAGCCAATGCCACTTGTCGGTGCTTTCTTGAATTTTCTGTTTAAGTGTGTTTCTGATATGCAAAATTCTGTGTAAACACTGCGGCGGGGCTTAAAAGCTCTTGCCTGTAAGTTGATTACGTTTTGAATGGAAGTTTTCTTTGCTTAGCCCTTAAGGCAAGAAGAGAAACGTCACAAGTCACGCAACTCTAGTCAATGTATCTAGTTTGTACCCAACTCAGTCTGTAGCAATAATAATAATAATGATAATAATAATAATCGCAAAAATTAATAGTTGAGGTAAGAATGTAAAAATAAATAAAAATATAAATAAATACGTCTACTGAAACAAACGACGAAACAGCCAGGTGTCCTGTCAATTGTCTGAATTATGCAATAGTTTTTATACAGCAAGTTGCGACCGTAACAGATCGAACGATAAAACTCGACCTAGATTTGGACAATTACGTACAACTACGTGCATTACGGTGTCCGCACTAGCCTTCCTTAATACGTGATGACTACGGAATGGGAAAGAGCACAGGGAAGATAGGTATGTATGCGCGCTAAACCAACTCAGTAAAAAATATTACTGTGGCAAACACTATTTTTAGAACGCGAAAAAAAACCTTTAACTGTTTCCGATCCAGACATGTAATCTACCTTTGATCGACAAAATAAAAATAGATCTTACTTTTACTATCACTGCACTCAGGAAAAATTAATAAACAAAGCAATATAATGTACACTTCTTTAAAATAATAAATATAAACAGTCTTCTCCTAGCTTACTCTTATCGTCCGGCACACCAATTAAAGCATTCCGATTATCACTTTGATTGAAAAATGTCAAAACAGATCAAGGATATCAGTTTTCGTACCATGGCGTCCAGGGCACACACAAAATTAAACTTCTCATGTACTCCAGTGTTCAAAGAGCCGTTGAAGTTGAACTCTCGTTGAAAAGTAAGCGTGAGTCAGAGAAAGAAAAGAGAGCTCGACAATCGACATTTAATGCACGTCATAACACTACTTAATACTATACACATATTCAGGCCCACCAACACGTGCAAACTGTGGTAAACCGGGAGGCTGGCAAACCGTGGTGGAATTCAGTCTTGTTGCTATTTTAATTGACGCTTTCATGAACGACAACGAATAAATACAATATCGGCGGGGAAAAAAGAGGAGAGACTTAACGAATTGGCTCTGCTTTACGGCAAAGCTAAGTGAAGACTATTCAATACAGCGACTACGCCATGTGATGGTTTCGCGGCAGTCTTCACATTCGATGACGTCATGCCCCCAGCAGATCGCTGTTCCATTTGCGGTTTCTGTTTTTGGTGGTTTCGGCGAGATAGCCTTGGCGGCCGTCACCACCAAAAATGCAAGGATGTCAAATAGATCAGCAAATACAAAGATGGCTTAAGGATCAGCTGCAGGATAGCATAGCTAATAAAGGAATGGTATGGCCTTCACGTCACGCCACAAGCGAGCTCGACGATTCGCCACAACATCGAAATATTTCAAGTAATACAAAGCAATTTAATGTTCAGATAGAGCGTCTGATGTTCTGCAAAGCTATTCGACTTAACGCTACACTATTTGTGTTTATGCTGTACCATTCTACATTACGCTGAGCCATTTCACGCAGCGCTACACCATTTGTGTGTACACTGTACCATGCGACATTACGCTAAGCCACTTGACGCAACGCTACACTGTTTGCATGTACACTGTACCATTCGACATTACGCTGAGCCAATTTCACGCAGCGCTGCACCACATGCGTGTACGCTGTACCATTCTACATTAAGCTGAGCCATTTCACGCAACGCTACACCGTTTGTGCGTACGCTGTGCTACTCGACGTTACCCTGAGCCATTTGACGCAACGCTAAACCGTTTGAGTACTGTATTGTACATGAGTGCTAAGCTATTCTTAATTGATTTACTCCATTTCACAATTTTATGTTCCAACTCGACATGGGCAACTAGACCGTTTATCATTTGGCTAAACTATCCATTTTTAGGGTGTTCTGTTTCACGAGGGAAAACTAAACCGTCTATAATTTGGTCATGCCATTCCTTTATTAGCTATTCTATCCTTCAGCTGATCCTTACACCGTTTTTGTATTTGCTGATCTATTTGACATCCTTGTATTTTTGGTAGTGACGGCTGCCCATAGTTTTCATTGGTTAGTGGTTGGATGATTTTAAACTTTATGTCAATGTTTGACAATAATATTAACAGAAAAATATTCAGTTTTTTGTTGTGGGCTTTCAACTGAAACAAAGGCATCATTTCACTTTTACGTTTTAGAATGTACTTATGAACTGTGACTGTATCTTGTCAAGGTCACATTTTGTTTCCCTTTGAACTGGAAAGCATACTACTTGTTTATACGGAATCTGCTTGCTCATAAAAGATGGAAGCTGGAACCTCAAGTGGAATCTCTTTAGGAGATCACAGTTAAATCTTATCCAAAAAATATGCTAATTGTATGAAATTATTGGATATTTACTTATTATTTAGCTGAACTTTAGAAATACAGTCGAACATTCTTATTACCACAATTTTTTTTAAAGCAATTAGGAATTTCTCCTGTGGAAAGATACCTACTATTTCTAATACGAAGATCCCTTTACTTTTTGATGTAGGGATATTTTTATAAGTACACATTCCTTGTTACTTGTGCAATATCAATTGTTTGTTGCCCCTCCAGCTCAAGTTTAGTTGTAGCAAACCTGGAAAATACCCTCTTAATTGGCAAAAACGATGCTGTCCCCTCCTGGAAGGAATTTATTTTTGTAGATTTTAATTGGGTTTGCAAAATAAGATTCCTTACGGGCTAAAAAACCATCTTAAACAAGCAAAGTCGTGCGTAACATGTTCCTCTCCTAGCTTGAATGAATGTGTAAAATAATACTGAACGATGCCTGGAGATAAAAAACGCGTCTTGAAGGACTTTTTCATTCTTTGCTGGCCAAAATGCTAGTATCTTGGCAGAACGTATTCCTCTTGTTTGCATTTTGGACCCATTCGTAGGTAACCAGATTTTAAACGAGCCAAATTTATATATAGTTTCTGTGAGTTGACTTGCTTCAATTCGCCCCTCAAGGTACGACACTCTGTAGACGGCGGTCAGTAATTTCATATCATCGGTATCAAAAGAAACAAGCTTGTAACATGGCGAAACACTAATCTCCTATTTATTCAACAAGTTTATTCCACGTAGTGGCACATTTGTTGCAATATAAGAAAATTCATAGATCGTAAGCCAGTCGGAAGGTGAAACATCAGGTGAACGAAATTTAAGAAAATCTCCTTTAAACTGGTTTTGTAGTTTCATGTCCTTTGGGAATCTTAGTATGAATTTTCTCATGATTTGGAGTTCGACAGATCTCTTGTTTGTTGTTATACTGCCTAGTATTCCACTAAATCGTTCAAAGCTAAAACACCAAAAGCTAGTAACTGGTCCGTGGTCGAGAACAATCTCTTTCAAATGGTTGTGCAGGTGCATATTTGGGGTAATGGCATCTTTTCCATATAGAGTCTCCACTGACTTGCAAAATTGAAGAATCAATCCGTCGACAATGTCAAGTTCCTGTTTTTGTAGTAGCAGACTGGCAAAAAATATCTACATACAAACACAAATGTCTGCCCGCACCGGAAATGTTCCTCTGGTAGAATACTTTGAAGGCAGAAATTAGAGTAAATGAGTGTCCAGTTCTTCCACTGCTCTGCTGCATATGAACCACAATTCCTCGTTATCCTCATCGGTAATCGTCCAATGTCACTAGGAACCTCAAATGATTTTATTCTTTCCTCGATTTCGTTCAGTTGGCTGGGCGAAAAAATTTTTGAGTATGTCCATAGTTTGAACATTCTTTTGACAGTTCCGAGAAAGAGATTGTGCATAGGATCAACCGTGCAAAATCTAATAACATCAAGGTAATCGAGTCGCAGTAAAATGCTATAGTAGGGGATTCCACTTTGTTGCCCCAGCAAATTTCGTCGCGCTTTTGTTTTGCACTGAGTAATGGCTATTCGACGATGTTCTTCATTTGTGCGAGGTTTCCATAAACTTCTTTTGAATTCAGAGTAATCTCTCTTTCCCCAAAACCACCCAAAAACTTCAACGTGCACACCCAAGTTGAGCTGAATGCCCCTTGAATCCACAGATTTTTCTCGTCGTAGGAACGTCAGTATATACACACAAAACGGCATCACGAAACATTAGAGCAAATCTACCAAGGCTAGCTTTGATCTTGACCCCTTTCCACAAGACCTTCAACTCATCCACAGCTGGCTCAAGAAATTTATTTCAATCTTTGGGTTCTCTGCTCAATGAAGGAACAACGCCTACAAAAACGATATTCTCCCATTTGAACCGTTTACACCTAGGCAGATTTAAAATTACCAAGTTAAACACTCCGACGGAATAATCCTTACAGTGTTCATCGGCTGGAAAAAGTGAAAGGTCAATATAAACCCATAATTTCGTGGTTTACTCAAGGAAGGGGAATCACTGACGTTCTGGAATTCTTTCCATAGATTTCCATCCAAAACATCAGCTAAGGTAATTGATCCCACTTTTCGTTTTCTCCACACTTCGCAATTTATGGGAAAGTCTTTTCTCAAGACCAACTTCTCCAGTTCGTCTATGATGCTGTTGCTGCAGTAGTAATTGGTAGGATAGAAGCAAGTTTTTCCATTATGAAGAGTAACCCTTGTCACGAGTGGCAAGTTAGTTTTCATCCTCTGGAGTAATGAGTGTCGCTACATTTTTTTTGCCACCTGTCGATTGTCTATCATCGAAATTCAGGAGTCGTACTTATACAGTTTTGTACACTTTGGACAAACCACAATCTTATTGAAATCATCTCTATCAACATTTAAGAATTGTCTCAAAAGGTAAAAGGATCCAGAAAGGCTCATCACTAATTTCTCAAAAGCCTCACCGGAATTTTCTAAGCCAAGAAGCCCTGGCCACGAGACAAAGGAAATTGAGCAACCAAGCGAGACCATTATCGCTCTGGGCCCATTTGTTCGAAGGCCGACTAGCGCTAACTCAGGAGTAAACTGTAATCCAGGTTTCTTTATTCCTTTGTTCAAAAACATTTTAGAGACAATTTTCCCTATTCTCGTTAGAACATCCAGTGATCAAATTGTAAGCAAAAGTATTTGAACTGCATTTTCTTTTAAAGCTTTTAGACCTGAAATCAAATTTCAGACTAACTCTGGGTTATCTATAACAACCCAGGCCAGGTGGCAAGTCGCCTACCAGATTAGCAGAAAATAAACGAACCAAAAAATTAATGAATTTTGGCGGCCTTGAGCTTCCGGAAGGGGCGGGGCGTTTTCTAAATCTCTCGACATTATCTCAGGGTGCACACCATTCCAGATTTCTTCTTCGTCACCGTCAGAGCTTGAACTGCAGCAGTCGCTCCGGTGTCCATCATTGGTACTGTTTAGACCTCCACATTCATTGTCGCTGTTAGAGTATGCTACCTCGGATTCAGGCAAGTCCGTCGGCTATATAAAAGATAGGAAGTTTTCAGAACGTTAACGAATGTTTCAACTCTCAATAAAGTACTTTTAAGGGTTATGGTAGCGAAAAAAACAAACAAACAAATTAACGGCAACATCAGACAACAAACAAAGATCATTAGTTGGTAACATAGTTTTTGCAAAAGTGCCCTGTTTGTTTACTACAAACTTGTTTTTTTTTAACATCTTGGTCAGTTTATGCCATATGCCCAATATTTTCCGTTTGACAATTTAAATGATACAAGTTAATGTACAAACTCCACGTTCTTCCTTTCTCACTTGCTTAGCGTTTTATCAAGAGCTATCTACTTCTGCGTCAATTACAAGACGCTCTTCCTGAATAAAATCTGTGGCTCCTGTATGGAATTGGTGTAAAAGAAAAAAATCAGTTGGCAGAGGTCTATCGCCTCAAGCAACGTTGAATAGCAGTTACGTTCTCATGCAATGATAAAGATGTATAGATATAGCATATAACATATATATGTGTCACTCTTTTATATTCAAGGTAACTAACCTTCATCCTCAGATGAAATTGAAATTTCGTTAAACAAATCCTGGGAATTTGAAGTCGCCTTAAAAGTATCTGCTAAGTTCGTCTCGTTACGTTTTCGCTCATGTGCTTCGAAAGTTGAACGTGATACGAAGTCATTACAATGAGCGCAGTAAATGTATCCCTTCTTGTCATCGCACTCCATGCGTTCGTTGAAGGAGATGCCAAAATGAAAACACGTCGATTTCAAGTCAGATATTAATTTCGACAAAATTTGTTGCTGCACATAAACAAAATTTGCTATTCCTGGCCTATGCAAGTGTTGGCTAATTTGTACACAGGCGGCCCAAGCTCCAGCTGTGAGATGATCATCTTGCGCAATAACAGTCATGGCGGAATTTTTATTCCTTAGAGCGGTCGTAAATATTCCCATACAAACTCTTATAATTCCGCCATGACTGCTATTGCGCAAGATGATCATCTCACAGCTGGAGCTTGGGCCGCCTGTGATCAGACTGCCGGGCACGGTCTCAAATGGACCAAACGCTCGGCAGCCAGAAATGTCTCTGAAAGGTTCCTTCAAACTTCTTGAGAGTATCAAATGTTTGTTAAGAAATGTAAAGCGATTCCAAAAATTAATTTTTTTTTAGTGGATAAATTATCCGAGCTTGTGCATACTACAATATCGCTCGCTTGTCGCCACTTTGAAAGTCTACGCTTCTGATCAGACGGCCGGGCACGGTCTCAAATGGACTAAATGCCCGGCAGTCAGAAATTTGAATCAAAATGCCACTGAAAGGTTTCTTCAAACCTCTAAAGAGTATCAGATGTCTACCTAGAAATGTCAAGCGATGCTAAAATTGAGTTGGTTTTTCAGTGATGAACATGTGATAAAACTTAGGAGGTCAGCCTGATTTCGTAGAATACGTTGTCTTCGTGACAACTGTGGCGTGACAGCAAGGGTCAGTACGTTAGAACACCTTCAGGTTCCGTAAAAACTGGGGGGAAACAGTACAAAAAACCTCAAATAAACTTATTAATAATACAGTATTCGATGTTTGTTTAGATTTCCCAAGTGATTCTAAAATTATTTAGTGGACAAACTTTTCGAGCTGATCGAACCACAAAATCGCTCGATTTGTCGACTCTTGAAGACTTGCCGGGGTGTCCTAAAGGATATGGACCCCCCCTCCGCTAGCGGATTTGGACCCCACTCCGCGGATTTGGACCCCCCAACAAAACTGAGCGAAAGCATATATCCTTAACGTTCTTTAACAAATAGAGAAGCCTTGACTGTGCTCTGTTCTGTTGTAAAGCACGCAGGAGCGGTTAGAGCACGAAAGAAGTGTAGGGAGAAACACTCGACTACGTCTGGTGTTTCTCCCCACTTCTTGAGCGTGGCTCTGCATTGTTTGCAGACCGCCAGGCTCTAAACATCTTTGTAAATGTTATGGGGTTATTTCGGATCCCTCGACAGTTAATAATCGTTAAAATTAGAAAAAAGATTGAGTTCAATGTAATAGCCTCCGCTTTTGTTAAGACGTAGACATAAATGTTGATTTGCATTGAAAATAAGCTGAGAGTTCCAATAGTTCAGAGTAGAAACATTTTTACCTATCATAGTTTACGAACGACTTGTAGTAAAAGTAGTTACTACGTTCTTGTTTAGAAACTGTTTAGACTGACTTATTTTTGTGACTGGACGCAACAGTCTCCTCTATTGTTATGACGTTTCGTCTGATTCGCATCGGAAGAAGCAAAGATTTATTGTAACAGTCTCAATGGTTCTAATGCAGTAGTTTGCTCGCATCGAATTCTTGCGTATACTGTTCGACACGCTATAATGAATGCAGCAGAATTGGAACGAAATGACTTTTCCTTTTTTACCTGTATTGAGGAATGCTGTGTTGTGATTGAAAAGAACATAGACAGAAAGCCTGCAAAAAGAGGATTAGTTACCAAATATGATAAAAACGATGCTTAAAAGGAGGTCCAAAATCTGCGAAGGGGGTCCATATCCGCTCGCGGAGTGGGGAGGGGGGGTGTCCAAATCCGCGGGGGTCCAAATCCGCTGTGACACCGGGTACGGTCTCAAATGCACTAAATACCCGGAATCGCTTGACATTTAACAAACATCTGATACTCTTTAAAAGTTTGATAGAATCTTTCGGTGGAGGTTGCGTGAAAATTTTTGACTGCCGCGCATTTAGTCTATTTGAGACCGTGCCCAGCTGCCGCGCATTTAGTCACAGCGTAATTTTTTTACAGTCGATAACTCTACCAACTCTATTTTATTTGGTTTGAAAAACCACCGGCAGAAAAAAGCAACTTCACTTCCAAAAATAACAATAATAGGATTGACAACTTCGCGAACACGCATTCCGGTAAATGAATCAAAGCTCTGCGTATTCTAGCCTCGATAAAAAAAGTCGACATTCTCAAAGTTTACAAAGCTTTACACACTCTATCTGGAGTAGCCGAAATTAGGGCCGAAATTGTTTGGGATAGCGACGAAAGAATGGCTGCCAAGATCGCATTGAACGAGGCTGTTTTTTTTTTCTTTAGATGTGCCGTCGAAGTTTCTCGCATGCTAACAAAAAGAAAAAATAAAGAGCAAAAATTCAGCTCTTCAGTCATCATTTCTTTAATTTTTCTTTTCTTTGTTAAGGTTGCAGTGCCTCCTTTCTCACTAAATGATGTGAATGATGTCGAATCAGCTTCCAAGCTGACGTCACGAGCCAAACCGCCCAATTTCCCCTATTTCTCGGTCGTGAAAATGAAGGAGGCCAATTCAGGGATATATGGAAATGCACAAGAAATTCTTAAAATAGATGCGACAATGATTATCGAATTTTTTTTTTTAATCAAGAAAACAAGATTTATGATATGGAAAAATTTGGGGGCTAGTGGTATTTTAAATTCCTGATCCAAATTTACAATGATTTATATTTCTTCGCAGGAGAGTCAAACAAGACTCTACAGCAAGCCTGTTTTGTTTTGCTGTATTCCATAACGAAAATCGTCGCTCTGATTGGAAATATCCTCCTGATATTTATCGTCAAGTGGAAACCAGAAACAAGGTCCCTCACTGGGGTATTGTTCGTCAACATGGCCTTTGCAGATATTTTAGTGACCTTAATTGTGATGCCCGATTCCATGTCATATGTCTTCACAGAGGCAAAATGGATTTCTGGAGACGTAGGCCTTGTCACATGTGCTGGTGTGAGGTACCTTAACTTCATCACACTGGCGGCGCCAATCGCTAGTCTATTGTTGATGTCAGTGGATCGTTACTTAGGAGTTACTTTCCCTCTCGACCGTTTCCCAAATTTTCGCCGAGGAAAAATCCAGTCTGTGGCAATTTGGTTTAGTGCAACGATCACTTCGATCCCCGTCGCTGTAACATGGAAAAATTTTAAGCATTTTCCAAACGACACATATTACATTTGCGGGTCCATATTTCAGGCACCCGGGAAAGAATACAGGAGGATCCTTTTTACACTACTTGTTCCTCTTATGTATATGATTCCACTGCTTGTGATATCCACGCTATATACCTGGTTTGTCTTCAGCTGCGCCGCAGAGGTATTCCAGGACTCGTTACTCTAAAAACGAAACACCGAAACGAGGTAACCAAACGAAAGGTCGTACGCATGCTTGTAATAATCACCGCTGTATTTGCTATCTGTTGGCTTCCATCACAAGTCTATATTGTCCGTATGGCATACTTGGATCATTTCCTGATGTTCATAATGCTCAACTTCCATATTATGTGCAGTATTTGTCTAATTGGTTGGGACATGCCAACAGTGCCACAACAGTGCCATAAATCCATGGTTGTACCTGACCTTAAGCGAAACATTGCGCAAAGATCTTTGTGAGGTTGTGAAGAGAGATAGACATTCAAATTCTCGTTACTTTAGATTTACAAGATCTCAGACGTCAACCAAACATGCTAAAGGCACTAATGTGTACAATAACGTACTACTGCAAGATGTGCGCATGGATCGCAAGGAAATAAATTGTGTGCTCAATGAGAAAGAAAAACAGATTTGCAGTGAGACAAACGTCTGAAAAAAGGTCCACGCGACGGTGTACACTATTGTGTTGCGGATGCACACGAAATGTTGTTAAGAAGCGTAAGCTTCGCTTAAGGTGATAGCTGTGGTGTTTACCATATATTTTAAAAGATAACATTTATACATCGTAGCAAAAGAGTTCCGTTTTTTGAACCAAAAATGTTCGTATAGTCTAACATGACTAGACAAAACTGGAGCGTGAAAACTAGTCATTGTATTTGCTGTAAGCAAATACAATGACTACTAATACTACATCACAAATCATTGTATTTGCTTACAGCAGCAGAGTAAACCCATGGGTAAATAGCAGACGGTGAATTAACCAACCAGGGGGCATGCTTTACGTTGGTTGTGTTGTAAAAGGTCATCTTTTATCGATACTTCGTTGCTTTCCTATTTTATTTTATAAAAGCTAAACTGAATTAGATTAAACTGGTCATCTTCTACTTGCTCGGGACCACCCACCCTGTTTTGAATTGAATGTAGTCCTAAGATAGTAGATTGAACAAGAAGCATACCTAATCTTCTTCGTTCTCTTCTTGGGATGTCTAGAAGTAGAAAGATAAGAAACGAGTAAAAGGGATTCAAAATCTTGTATTTTTGAAGTCCTGGCAAAACATTCTCGTTGCTCAGTTTTATCAAGGTCTTTAGAGATGATGCGCTGAAACTGAACAACGAGAGGAGGAAAACTTCCTTTAAGTCGCATAATTCTATCCAGCATTGCTCTCAGAGGAACATGATGCGGAGTAGCAGATGTTTTTTTTTTTAGTGCAAAAAGGGTATGTTTAATTTACATATCGCCATGTGTTCTGTTGTTCGTCCTTACCTCAACCAACTCAGACTTGAATTGAACAGTTTTCAGGCCCTATTATAGTGCTAAATTTTACTAATCCATCCTTGATTTATCATTTATAATTTTGTGTCCTTTTTTTTCTTTTTCGTAAGACTTCATGTCAATGCAAGATTTTCCGTGCATCAATTTTTGGCTTACTGAGGCTGACGTGAACAAAATGTGCGAAAGCAATTTGATTTTTGATATTGACGTAGGAAAACAATCAATCATCTTAATGAGGAAAAAAGGTAAATAAAAACGCTTTCCAAGTTACCTAAGTAAACAATTTGTCTATGTTGCAGCTGAGAACAAAATAGTTTGACTGAGACTGAAAATTTTCAAACTGAAAAGGAAACTGGTTCCTGATGACCAATTTTCAAAATTAAAACTGATTCTGTTTAAGGAAAGATCAATCTGCCATTCGCCTTGCGTTGATTTTTGGTGAGTAGTAAGGGTTTAGAGAGAGTCGATCTTAAAAACGACTTTCATACTAGCTAAAAATGACCGAATTTTGTATACTTTCTAGACTCTTCCTGGTGCAAAAGAATAATTCCTCTACCTCGTAGGTGTCCTTTATTTTAAGTGCAAATTGTAGATACATCTTTAATCTTCAATCGCGCGTTGATTTAAAAGCTAGCACTTGTAAAACTCAGAAAGTGAGTTTTATGAAGCCTAGTAGGCCAATTTTGGCTTCTGTTATTTAGGGTTCTATAAAAAAGAGCGAAGTTAAGTTCAAATTTGCCGCTTTATCGGTTATGAATAATAAATGTTTTTTTCAGTTTTTGGGGTTACCGTTGTGTGTTTTTTTCTTTCTTTCCTATTTATTCCTTGAGCAATCGCAATCTCTTTGATAAAATTATTCCTTCTTACAAAGAATTGTAAACAGATTTAAGGCTCTCAGGATTATCTAGATATTCTGGTGCTAGCCAATGTCATGTATTCCTCCTCTCTCCCTCTTCTCCAGTCTCTTCTCCAGTCTTCACACACTACCTTAACTACCCTTGTTCATGTTACACCAGTCAAAATAATAAGATCACGCATTGTTGTCTTTAAAATCCAAGGATCTGCTGTTAGTCTCCCTTCTTGCTTCCAAACATTTCGTTATAAAAAGTCAGAATTCGGTTTTTCTTCAAGAGAGCACCCTCTTAGTGATAAATATCCATTCTCTCCAATACTCAGTCGATAATATATCAATATTAGGAAGAAGAAGAAGAAGAAAAGAGTAAGGAAATCAGGTTAAAAAAAGAAAAAAAAAAAAAAATATTCTGACAATATCACATGCCGAATATTTCATAGCCACTGCGAAGGTAAACACTTGAAGGTATGTTCTATATCTAGCGAGCAGAACTGATCTCGAGCTAGACTGTCATCTTTCCAGAAGGTAATTATCTGCAACATCAAAGGTCAAGCTGAGACACACGTTAAGCGCAGAAGAAAACAGCCGAAGAGAAAAGAATAAAAAAAACTGAAATTCTAAATGCCAATACATACAAACATAGAAGGCAGTACTAAGGTGATTCGGCAGATTAACTCGATCGTAAAAATGAAGGATAAGTGTATCGAAAAAAAAAATCTAAACAAGTACGATGTCGTTTACTAAGACTCTAATTTCTAGAAAAAATTTCCTGTTACTACTTTTACATAGAGGCTTATAATTAACAAGATTATTCAATAATTCTTAAGAAAGATTTCCCTCTAAAGAGTGGTAATTACATTTTAGTGAAATATTGAAAGGAGCGTCCAGTCTGCCTTTCAGCGTCGTGACATTATTTTTGAGAAGCGGTATTTTCTGCATATTGGTTGATGTTAGTATAGTTAGCTCAAAAGAAGATTATTTTTCAACTTCTTAAGCCGAAGACAGCCCTAAAATTAGCATTGAAATTGCAAGGAATGCCAATTCCGCAGATTATTATAGGCAGATAGAACGGATAATCAGAATTCCTCACAAAGCTGTCTCGGTAGTGATACATTTTGGTTGATTCTGTGAATTGAAAAGGCAAATTCGTCATGTTATTGTAGTTTTATAGTGATCGTTTGAAGATATCCTGACCAACAGGGAACTCACCATTTTTGTGGCAGCAATGGCTTGCCATCATTCACGGGCATCGGGGAATCTATACAAAAGAGAAGAGAATACCCAACAAGTAAGAAATTATCTAGCCACGAGAACAATTAAGATGTTTTCCAACTTTTAAATTGTTTTATTCCGTTTTTATGGCTTGGGTGAAATATGAGGCGGTAACAAAATGGATGAAATACAAGGTGATATGATAGAGGGCCCGTTGTGAATTCAGCTAAATTTCAATTTCTAGAAAAATCAGAGACTGATACCAGCTTCAGATGTTTGCTTTTTTTCATTTGGCTGAAACAATTTACCAAACCGTTGGGCCAATCCAGTCCTATACAACTCTAAAAACTCCTGTTTAAAAGAGAAGTGCTCTAAAAATTTACAAAGAATCCATCCAACTGATCGCCTCTTTAGATGACGTCGTTATAATTCCGTTTCTGCGATGGATATGATGAAGTTTGAAACAGGATATCAATGTCCACGCTTTATAAGAGCCCATAATCTCTTGAACTGCTTTTTAAGTGTTTGTTTCTTGATAGAAGTCTTAAAGATAAAAGTCGGTTCCATCGCCGGTGTATTAAATGCAAGATGTCAACTCAACAGTAGAATAAAAAACTGGTTTCAACGGTTCTCCGTTGATATTAGTAATGACTTACCCTATGCTATAACTACTTATGGTAATGAGTTATGACAAAGAAAAAGATCCTGACATCCAATTCCGCTGAAATAAAGTGAGTAAACCTGATGAACATGTTGATTAATCAACGCTGGGAGGATATGACGGAAGGGGATGCAGGTGTCAGTTGCACTGCCTAAACTTCTCTGAGGGCGTGGGTCCATATATCCAGGGGATATTCCACTTATCTTACTCGACGGTATGTAGGAGGGTATTCAATTAACACTTAACACATAGGAAAATGGCTATGCCTCTATACTATCTTTTTCCCATGCAAGCACGTATTTATGGACCGGAATAAATAAGTCTAACCTGTATATTTCGCTCCCACGGGTGGCTATTGTTAGAGAGATGACTTGAAAATCCGGGTAGATGTCATAATTAAATTCAAGATCAATCAAGCAAAATATATAGTCACTTTCTCTTTTATCTTTAAAAGAGTATATTTTGATGACATAAGCTTTAAAATGGCATAGAACAGTGACCAACTATTGTTTTAGTTTCTAGAGGGGCAATAAATCCTGACTTAAATGGATCCAGTCAAATCTTACCTACTTGATAATAGCTGCAGTAATTTTTGGGAGATAATTTTTCGACAGCCAGGCGAGAACTTTCTCTAGACCTGATCCTTCGTCCCCTCAGGGTCACTGTCATTGTTATTTTTGTTTTCTCTTTTTTTTATTTAAGATTTTAATTGTGGTTCAGTCTATTTTACTCTTGACTTTCACCAAAGGACACTCTTTGGAGACAATTTTCATCCACGTATTCTTAACTAATGTTCACGTGATGCACCTGTGTTTTGTACCCATGATAAATTGGTTGCAAGTTAATTATGCCGTTGCTATTTTGATAACACAAAGCCGAACTTCATTCTGGATGGAGCTCCCTGTTAAAGTAAGTATGAATACCGACTTAACACTTATCCTGTTTTAAGTGGAATTTTGACCGAAATTC